AACAGTTCTGCCTCGGGATTCGTGATGAGCGCTCCCACAAAGCATCGGACGGTTGTTATTCTCCGTCAATCTTCTCTCCATTTCCCCCTTTTTTTTTAATAATAACCGTTCATTTTCGTTACATTAATTTTAAATTAAAAAAGAAAAATAAAGAAATGGAAATCGGATGGTTTATACTCGTATATTCTAATATTCTCGAGTCTGCAGTGCTTTTTGGAGCATGATAGGATTATGCCGGGAATTTTCTGACCCCAACTGCTGCCTTTCATATAAGTGCAAGGCAATTGAATTATCCGATTCATGTGATTGTGTTTTCAATTGTGACAATGCCTAATTTTCCATCAACACAAAGAAAATGCAATTTAATGTGATTGATAATAGAATAATTCCTATGAGCATAGTTTTTAATGAGACAAATTATTCATAATTTCACGTAAATTTATTAATATTCGAAATAAACAATCTACTTTAAATATGTAAACCATGCTAATGGTATATTTGAAATGAAAGTGCCCATTATCGCATGTTACAAAAACCTTAATCACTCTTGTACTGTATTCATCTCTTTCTCTTCTCTCTTGAACCGTCCTTTCACACCAATCAATTAAGGTTTTTCTAAATTTGCTTTCCATTAAAAGCTTCCCTTTCAATTTAAAGCTTCATCCTATAACGAAAAAGCCATAAACTAGTTTCTAGTTTCAAATCCTTTAAATTGTGATCTAAATCAAGTTACCCAAATTATGATTTAAGGTTAAGGTTCATCAATAGTGATTCATCGATTTTGTTGTCTTCGTAATAAGTATTGTGGTTTTTATGCTGTTGTGATAAAGGTTAAGGTTAGAGTTTTTATTAGGATTTGGGGATTTAGGGTGAAGGTTATAGTTAAGTTTTTGATTAAGAATCGGGGATTTAGGGTGAGGGTTTAGGGTTCTATTAATGCTTAAAGCTCATCCAAAGCTATTAGGACGAGAATTAGCGTTTAGGTTGGGATCAAGATTGTGTTCAAATTTAGGATTTAAAAATTGGAGTTTTAGGGTTTGTAAGAAATTAGGAGATTCAATGTTGAGGTTCGAGTCGATACACTTTTTATAAGCTTAATTTTAACTAATCATTTAAATTTTTTGTTTAGTTGAAATATGAAAATTATTTTTTATAAGTTTTAATCTTTAAATTTTATATTTTAAACAAAAAATTACTAGCAAATCAAAATTTTCTTTTGATTTCAACATGATAAATGTTTTTTAATTTTTAATTAATAAATTAATATGAAAAATCTATATTTTATTTAAAAATAAATTATTAAGGAATATATTGATAGTTTAAATTAAAAAATAATCATCATTTCAATTCATCTCTATAATCTTCAATTCTATTAAAAAATATATACCATTTTTAATTTTTTCATCATTTTACATATATAAATATTATTTATAATTAATTTTAAAATTTTTTACCATATCCTACAATACGATACTTGATACTAAAAAATAAAATTTCAATATACAATATATATCTCAATTTAACAACTATGCCTATAAAAAGAGGCATAGGCACCTTGTTACATTAATGTATTAACAAAAATTTTAACACATTTTTTATCATGTTATCTTTTAGATTTCACATTTTCTCTTGTAAGGTATTTGGATTGGCAACATGTAAAGCGGAAAGGCGACATGTTAACTCAAACGTTAGTGCACTAAAGCGTGTTGCTTTAAGTAAAGTTGTAGCAAGAACCCTAGTACCAAAGTCATACATAGTGAATACGAGTGATCTCCAACCCCTCTAATTGATTGAGACCATACTTATGGGTCAAAATTTAGTTGAGTCCTTACCGAACATTTGTGATATGTATAAGTGTAGATTTTCAATAACATTTTAAAAACGATTGTCATTCATATATTTGGCTAAGGAACAATATGAATATTTAAAGTAACCATTGTCAAGATTTAAAGGATAAATCAATCAAAATTCATGTTGTCATACCTCATCGCATATCAAATAAGGATCTAATTGTAAAAACCAATATAAAAGTTTAAGTCAATTACTAGTAGCAATTTGAATTTAAGTCTTGAAAGCCACACGATTTAGGCCTAAAAAGTTATTAGGCCAATAGTAGTTAGACTTAGGTCATTTCAATTGGTATCAAAGCATGTACCAATCCAATGTGGGCATCGATATTACATTGGAAAGATCTTGATCTTATGGAATGTGTTTTGGTTGTAATTGTGATGTATGCCTTTAATGAGGATATCAAGGATTTGAGGGGGTGGGATTGTCATACCTTATTCCACATCGTATGCGAATCTAATTGTTAAGACATTTATCAAGGTCTAGGTCAATCATTATTAGCAACTTAACATTAAGGTTTTGAAGACCATATGGTTTAGGTTTGAAAAGTTGTTAGACCAATGGTGCTTGGACCTAAGTTATTTCAAATGCATAGTAACGAGTCGTTAGACACTCTTATGCATGCAATTTACAATTTTAGGAAATGTAATTAGTCATTCCAAATGGGTTAACTACATTAATTTAGAATAGTACTCAATGAAACACCAAGTTAATTATTAATATAACAAATTGCAAATAAACTTTCCTAAGAATTATTAAAATAAAACATTGTACTTTAAACATTATTAAGAAATTTAATGGAAATAATTCATACTATACTCTTGTTGGTCCTAAAGAGCATACTAAAAAGGGTGAATAGTACTTTTAGAATGACACGAAAATTCTTTCTAAGTAAAGAGCTGATTAAGGGAATTTGAAAATGAAAATTTAAAGCTTGCTTGAAAAATGATTTAAATGCTAAGAGTAAAAAGAAAATAAAAGAAAGTGAATAAAATACAATGATTTATAGTAGTTCGATCCCTTTAACCTACATTCATTACCTTGATCTCATAATCAAGGATTTTCAAACTTGTTGGGGTTCGACCTCATGCTCAAACATGAAAATAATCAATAAATTAGAAATAGAACACAGTGAAAAAAATAAAATAATATTTAATTAGAGAAACAGTCGAATCTTAGAGGATCAATGTTTATATTTTTTATGTAACTTTCAAATTAATTATGAACATTTATAAGTTTAGAAGTTACATAACTTGCTCTAGATATTGTAATCAAGAGCCAATTAAATCAAAATCTTTGCTTCTTCACTTTTAGGATTTGTCAAATCTTCAGCCACCCAAGTGTTTGGCCTCTTACAATAATCCACACAGTGACCGAATAAGACCTTATCAAAAGTAGGATTTTACTTGTGCTAGCAAGTTTTGTTTCTCAAACAAAAGGATTAAAATTTCTTACCAAATCGTATTTTTATTAGTCAAAGAAAACTATTTTTCTTTTCTTATTTTATGAAACAGCTGAAAAGTGGTTTAAGGCTTCAAGTTTTTTTAGTTTGCTAACATAACATATTTATATAGCCAAACTAATTTGTACCCCTAAATACAACAATTTTATTTTAATTTAATTAAGTCTCTATGGACTTAATTAATTTTTCACTTTATTTTGATCTCTTTCAATTAAATCCAACTTAATTAATTATCCTTATTTAATCTCAATCATGTCACTTAATGTTTGTGACTCATTAAGCTTCTAACATATTAGCAATAAATATAAATCATAATTAAATATCAATTTAATAATTAATATTATATTTATAGATCATGAGTGGCATCCAGGAATACATCATGACTACTTAAATGCTAAAAAGTCAATTAAAGAATTTGATAAAGCCCTTCAGCGATGAGCCTCTTAGTGCAATATGATCGTTACATCAAATATCCCGAATATATCATTAAGCATGGCTCGGTGTTTACTTATAACATTCCATATTAGTTCTCATAATTCATGACTAACCTTACGAATTTAGAAAATTAACTTTCCTCAAATTCATCATGCTTTGGTCAAAGACTTTATACAAGTTAATCAAGAATTGAGAACGAGTGAGATACATTCCCTCATATCACTTGGGGTGACGAATCCTCTCTTGGCCACTTATTCACTTTCGCATGCTTCATGACATATCCAAAAACACCTTATTTAGGCATCTGGTTACTTCCAAACTCGTAAGTGAAATCAAAGTATGTCATTCCTCATACAAGATGACCTAGGGTTTTAACTCTAAGGACTAGTTGCATGACTATCACATGAGAATATTTTTCATAAACTCTTGAGTGAAATACCAAATAGAGTTCTCATAGCGGGTCATGTTTAGTGAACTTATTCTTTAACAAGCACCTACATGTTATCCTGCACCTATATGTTATCCTCAAGTATCCCATATACTTCAATCTATGAGATCAATTGTTTACTTTCCAAGTAAGGAGGCTTAACATATATTGCTCTTTGAGCATTGTCAATGCCCTATCTTGACAATACAATGACTAGAAATAATTTTAGGAACATGATTTTGATACATAGTCATCTTATAATTATAACAACTTTACAATTCTCTTGCAAGGCCTTTATGTTCTACGGGCTTTATCCAATTAGTACTTAATAACTCCTTATTATTGCATTAACATGAAGGAAAATCTCTATCGCATATAATTATGCGATTAAATATGCATTAAATGACAATATATATTCTTTGACCAATATAATTGGCTCAAGGGCATATACCAATAATCTCCCACATGCACTTGAGTCCAGGATCGAACTTTTTCGCTTGACAACTATGTCTCTACTAGGACA